AAAGATGATAACTGTCTTGCTATTGCAGACATCAGTTCTACAAATTACGGTGGCAAAACATATGCTCCTTCTACACTATTGATTTTAGCTTCAGCAGATTTTGCAGCTTTTACTTTAAGAAGTTTGTAATAGCTTTAAAATGTCAATAACTAGTGATTTTCCTTAAATATGGTCCTTGTATTTTAACCTAGCCTGTTCAGTAACTAGAAATATAGCTGTGCTCCATTTGAATTTTTCCTTGTACCCAGTTTTCCAAAGTAACCTGGATGGTACTTGTCAAGGCTTATTATTATTAGTAGACTTGGTCATTTGGGAAACATTGAGTTATTTTTCCCACGAATCTAAATATATTTTGTTTAGACCTTGGTGATGAACCTATATCAGCTGACGATGGTTGCAGCTGGAAATAAATGAAAAGAAGACGAAATATATCCCATTGTAGGCACAATTAAAGGATACAGACTGAAATGGTTACAACGCATTGAAATCATGAAAAACGAGAGAATACCTAAAAGGCTAATGGAATAAAAATGATCAAAAAGAAGATTGATGGATGAGGTGCTGAAGAGTGTAAAGTGATAAAGCAAAAGACGTTGGAAAAAGATTTCAAAGATCCTAAAATATAAGTATTGTTAAAATCTAAAAAACATTGGTATTATTCTCTCAAATTTAGAATATTTTATTTTGTTCAGACCTTCATGTTGATCATCAGCTGACGATGATATACGGTGTGACATCTAATTTTTATGTTTACTACTTTAGATGGTCTAAAATAGAAAACTTTTGTTGAGGTAAACTTTGACGAATATTCCGGTGGTGATCATAATCATCTGACCGACGCATTTAGGGGTGCTGCTACAGGGGTGATCATCTAAATTTTAAGTAAGACTGGAGCAGTTTTAAAATTTGATGAATATGTGGGTGGTGACTATAAGCATAATAATGCTACAGGGGGAAACATCTAATTTTTGAGTATTTTAAAATTTGGCGAATATGTGGGTGGTGATCATAATCATCTGACGACGCAATTTAGGAGTGCTGCTACGGGGATGAATCATCTAAATTTTGAGTAAGACTGGAGCAGTTTTAAAATTTGAAGCATATGTGGGTGGTGACCATAGGCATAAAATAATGCTACAGAGGGAAACATCTGATTTTTAAGTATTTTAAAATTTGACGAATATGTGTGTGATCATAATCATTTGACGAGACATTATAGAGGTGCATCTAATTTTCGAGTAAGAACCGAAGCAGTTTCCCATCTAAATATATAACTAATTAAAAATCTAATTAAACTATTTTCAAACAGTCACTCTGCACGCAACGGTGGACATGTACTTGTACTAACATTCATATTTAAATATCTCCACAAAAATATGTAAAAAAATAAAATAATAATTGTAATAATATGGTATTAATAGCTATAAAACAACAACTTATTTACAGTGTACGTACAAACAAACTAAGTCTCCGGGTTTTCTATCCAGAGGCGGTGCGGCTGCGGCTCAGACTGGGCAAGCAATAATAATAATAAAATATATAAATTTATCTAATAACGATAATTTCCAAATTCTACAATAAAAAAATAAATAAAAACAAAATATAGTTTCTTAATATTTATAATATATAATAATACATATATTAATAAGTAATAATATATATAAGCGCATGGGAGCCAGTCTCAGCCAGCCGAACGGCTTCTTACGAAAAAGTGCAGGCAAGGGAGAAATGCATGAAAAAACGTCGCCCGGTATATAACCGGGTCAAATAAGGGTGACTCGTGAATACTGAAGGATCCAAGCAAGTGGTGCAGGCATTTTTTTTAAGGGGGCCGAGCTAAATTTCTTTTTTATTACGCCACAATCATCAATTGCTATATTTAACGATTGTCACAATTCTTGGAAATTTGAATTAAGTACAACTGCGACAAATCAGATACAATCTAGAAAGAAACTATTCGGAGGCAATTTTTTGCAAAAATCTTTAAAAATACGCAGTTTTCTATGGGACAAATGTCGTCCCATTTTGTTTTAACGATGTTGTTTTTAAACGAACCAATTTTTCATATTTTTTTCTTTAATATAAATAAAAAAGGTCTTGCAATTTTTTTGATAAAGTTATTATTTTAAAAGATGAATTTTTAAAGTTTTAAAAAATTCATATCGTTGAAAATATTAACTTTTTCAAAAAAAAGTATGACTTTTTTATTTGTATTAAAATAAATAAAATCAAAAATGAATAACATAATGGAACCACATTGCCCTATAGCAAACTGTATTTATATATTTGGCATATTTTTAAAGGGATTCTAAAAAAAATTGCAACTTTCATGCACCGATTCCAACAAGACTAATAAACATTAGCAATTGATAACTGCACAGAGTATATATGGTATTCCATCATCAATATCCTGCAATTTTAAGTAGATTTTTGACTGCACATGCGCGAGCTGTACTCTATCATGTCATCTGCCACATCAACTAACGTTGACAGATAAAATTTCGTACTGTCCACAACTTTTAAAATTTTAAATGCTTTATTTGACATTGTAGTCATTTTTTTAAATTAGTTGTCTTTATATTTACTTGATATTTCATTCTGGTTACAATTTTGCGTTTTTATTGTTGTTGTATCAAGATAAACAAAATAAAAGTGAACCTAGAATGATACAAGAGGGCGAATCATTTCTACAGGTGCTGCAAAATAATGCAGATGCTTTTTAAATTATTATAAGTATTTAAGTAATAATGTAAAGTGATTTTTCCCGGACAGTAGGAAATAAAAGTTTTTTATTCAACTTTGTTCGTTTAATTTGCAGAAAATCTGAAATGGAACATCTTATACTTACAACTTGGTTAATCGTTTCGTAAATAATTCTTATGTAGCATCACTGGATCAATCACAATATTGCCTAATACTCTCTATATCTCTACTACAATAATACTTTATTCACTGGGAGAATGAACTAAAATATGAATAGCCTTTAACGCAGCTATAATACTGATTTAGCTCCAAATCGAAAAACCAACAAACAGTTTTATTACCTACTATCTTTACCTGTAAAATTTCCTAATCTTTTGATTCAAAAAATTTCCCTATTCCGTTGCCACTTTTCATTCCGATTCAGAATATTACGAAACGAAGTAACCAACATATATTAATAATTGCAACTGTCAATAGCCGCATCACCCGCCTACCGGTCTTTCTTTTTTTACCCGGGTACACTCTATAAATAATTTATATTTATACTATAAAATCTCTCACAACTTATACGCTATAAGAAATATAGAAATATTTGTATCACATCACATAACAGAACAATAGCAACAATGAGTGATTTAACTAACAATAAGGGATATGTATTTCGTTATTAGGGGGGGTGTACCCTGAACCGGCGGCGGGGGAGGGGGCGAATGGCAGTTTTGGCATTTGATCACAGCCGTGTGGCCCCCCGTACCAAATTTTCCAGCACAACTTCAAAAAACAACTCAGTCCAAAATGTTTGTATATATTTTTAGCTGCACACAAACTATAGTAAATGTTTATTCCATAGCGCGACTACATAGTAGCCCGAAAAGTATAAATTGTAAATTTTTATTGTTATAAAAACGTTAGAAATAAAAATATTGATTTTCAAAATTATTAACTAACATTAACTCTTAGCGAGCCCAAATCCATTCAGTTTTGAAAAGAAAATAAAGTTAGATAATTCCAGTAATAGAATTGAAGATTTTGACGATCAAATGACAAAAACGTTAAGCCAATTGTGAAAGTAAAAAAAAGCCCTAAGTATGTGTCTTCATCATACTGTCCACAACTGTTTTGTACCATTTCTTCGAATTATAGCTGGTAAAGTATGGTAGTATCAGTCTTGTAGACAGTATGGTTAAGAATTGTGGGTAGTATGCTAATTCCTAAAAAAAATTCTGATTCAATTATTTAGAAAACAACTTGATGTAACTTTTGTTAAGTTATTTTTGAAAAAAAAAAAAAAAATAATTGTATAAATATTTATTATCTCATAGAGATGATTCGATAGTTTTTGCCATTAAGAAACTAAAAGTACCTACAGATCGACAAAAGGTAATATGGAAATAAAAAATCTAGCAGATTTGAAAAATGTGAATAAATTTGTTTTTTATGTATAAATTAAAATGTTTTTTTATAATTCCATAAACTCAGGAATAATAAATATATTATGAAATTCTTGATGGACTTATTTAAAAACACAACTACTAAAAAACCGTCAAATGATGCACTGATGTCAGTTATTTGAAAAACTGCACCGTACTGTCCACAACTGTTTTGTGTTTTTTCTATGAATTTAAGATTGTTTAATAGCATTGCAGTTTGTGTGGACATTAGGGTGATTCATTTGCGCAAAATTTTATTTTTTTTTCGGTGCTCAAGCAAATTATTAATCTACATATAGAAAGAAAAATTCCCATCAAGTTTGAGCTCTTAATATTAATTTTAAATACTTACTATTTAAATTTAAAGTTTTACCATTTAAAATGCATGTAATTTTTTTTTAATCGGTTTGATGGACCTTCGAAATTATATTCATTATGAGTGAGAAATCCCAATAATTCTAAGAAAGTTCTTAGTGTAGGGAAATATAATGGTAATAGAAAAAAATTAATCCAAATAACATTATAAGTTAAGTATTTATCAATTTCTTACGTTTTCAGGTATAAAAATGGCAGCAAATTCATTAAATATTGGTGGGATAACTTTTTCTCCCTACTTTTGACATTTATCTTGAAAAAAAACTGTACTTTGACGACTCCTACTGGTGAACCAGTGCAAGTTACACAAAAAAACTCTGAAGCAATTTCGAACAGGATAAAATTAAGGTCCATCAAACCGATTTCTATTATTGTGAAAGGTGGGCAAGCATTAGAAATAAAAAAAAAAAATAAATTTACATGCATTTTAAATGGTAAAATTTTAAATTTAAATAGTAAGTACTTAAAATTGATATTGAGAGCTCAAACTTGGTGAGATTTTTTTTTATATATGTTGATTAATATTTTGCTTGAGCACCAAAAAAACAAAAAACTGCGGAAATGAATTACCGTAGTGAACATTCTGGTTCAGTCTTATGAAAAGTCCTAATAAAAAAATTAAATAATTGGAATTATCTATACTTTTGAAATATTTAAGGGAATATTATTTGATTTTGTCTAAAAGAAAATTAATTGTATAAATATTATCATCTCACAGAGATGGTTCGATAATTTTTGCCATTTAGAAACGAAAAGTTTCTTCAAATCAGCAAAAAGGTGACTGGAAATACAAAATCTGGCAAATATGAAAAATGTGATAGAAAATATAAAAATCTTATTAGTCGATAAGGATGAGGATAATTATGAATTCTGACTGTGATAGTGCAGAATCGCCAGAAACAATATTGTCGTCGAGATAAGTAGTTATAAATATTTTGCGGACTAAGTTGCGTTGAAGTTGGAGGAATTGAAATTGTGGCACCTGCATCCACTATTTGCTCAAATTGCATTACTCTCACCGCACACAACCAACCTCTTTCAAAAATCTACCAATCTAATTCTCACTTCAGTTATCAATATATATTTTTTATATTTTTTTGCTATGTTTTTATCCATATAATATTTTAATTTTTTTCAGTTTTATTCCTTAAACAATATTTTGAGAATTGCTGTTTTTCAGACTTTAATAATGTGACATTTCACATGGCGAAACTTAAAAAAATATATTTAAAAAAATAACGAAACACTTATACGGTATTATAAAAACTCTAATTACGTCGTGTAGCGTCATGTCTTTTTTATACTTTTACTCTTAAAACGACGGAAAAATATTTAGAATACAATCTGTAAAAATATAAAATAAACCAATATAACTCTAATACTATCAAAAAAAAAAAAACCGTGATATATAATAATAAAAGAAACTATTGAACTGGCATTAAAAGATGACTACGCTTCAGCCCATTCGCGCCGTTAACCACACAAGCCCTAAATTTAACAAAAATTACCTAAATAATAATCGAAATAAAAAAGTGATTCCGAAATTAAAAACTAAAAACATCAGACACTCAAAAAATATATAAAAATTTAGCATTCGTTGTATGTGTGTTCGAGGATGTGGTTAAAAGCGGAACAGGGGCCGAAGTTGAACACGGGGCCGAAACCCAGGGAATGCGAAAATGATTCGAGCGAGATCGGGGCACTTAAGGATTGGGCGAATAGATGCGAATCGCTTGTATGGCCGGTAGTGAGCAAACGGGACATTGTGTCTCGCTACCTTCGCATACTCTAGTAGCGCAATCCATGCAGAAGAAATTGTGACCGCAGGGCACCAACGCGTGCGTCACTTTGGACTCGGTGCACACCAAGCATTTGGTAGCTGAGCTGAGCAAAGAATCCGCTGGGCTGGTACTGTTAGCAGGCGATGGTCTAGAAGGTGCTGATACTGTTGGATACGACCAGATACTAGACAACGCTGTTGATGTATCGAAGCTTGGAGAATCGCCTAAACCTTCGTCTCTATCATTTGAGCTCCAAATAGCTCCTAAGTCTCTACCGCCGCTGCTGGAGGAACTGCTGGAGCAGGAACCTGAACTAGAAAAAGCTCCGCTACTGCCTGTCGATGAAGTCATCGTCGGAAATGTATCAGTCGTTGGTTCCATGTAGTTTAAAATGGAGCTTAATCCGGATTTATACAACGAAGCGATCAAATCATTCTCATCTAAACCGTTCAATCCTGGTAATCCGTTTATAGCGGTGCCATTACCGGTACGCATAGCGATGTGAGCTTCGATTTCTCTTCTAGCAGATTCAACGCTTTCTGGTAGCCCGGTAACTTCGAACACTGGTTCCTTATCGCGACTAGGCGTGACAATATACGTATGAGTCTGATGCTGGATTCGCTTGATTGTGGCACCTTTGGGTCCTACAACCAAACCTACGACGCGATAAGGTACCCTGACTTGGATGGTAACGTGTCCTGGGATATTAGCTGGAGGTCCTGGAGGGGTGCTGGCTCCCGATCCTAGTCCTGCCAAATTGTTTTTGCGGGAAGCTCTGATTTGCGAGAAATGTTCCGCTGCGGATAGGATTTCTCTTTTGGCTTTGGCGACGTCTTCTTTGCGACCCGTTACCACGAAGACCGGCTCTTCGCCTCTGACTGGTGTTTTGATGTAGGTGTTCGTCTTGGCACGGAGGGCTTTGATTTTGCAACCTAGAACAAAGAAATTTGTTTGTTAGAATCGGTCAAAACTTAAGGAATAATCGTTAATAAATTATTGGTTAATCGTTAATGAATCATTAATGATTATTTATTATTGATTTAATAAAGATTCATTAATAGTTCATTCATTGTTGATTAATAAGTCATTAATAGTTCATTAATGATTCATTAATGATTCATTAATGATTCATTAATGATTCATTAATGATTCATTAATGATTCATTAATGATTCATTAATGATTCATTAATGATTCATTAATGATTCATTAATGAATTTTATTCATCAAAAATACAAATGGTAGCTTAAAATTATGAAAAATTTAATAAATAAAGGTACCTTCACTCGACCTGTGAGTACTTTCTCACTTGTTTCGATAAAATAAATAAAAAAATGTATAATAAATATAACAAATTAATAATAATTTATAAATAGTGATAAAAATAAAAAACATTAAAAAACTAATCGGTATACATTTTAATATATGAGAAATTTATTTGATTCGTTTTAATAATTAAAAAGTCATATGGAAGAGTGAATTTAAGGGAAAACGTAACCATCATAATTTATATTATTCAAGATAAGACAGGTTGCAGCTTTGCGAATTCCAAAATATTACTAGAAACAGACGAATGTTAAGTATTACTATAGCTTATCATTTCTATAAAAAAAATTGTATATTTTCTAAAAATATTTTTTCAAGGGATAGTTTTTATTTTAATTTTTAATGGATTGTTTTTATTTTGTCAGGTAACTGATTATGTATTTTTGGAGCAAGAATCGCTAGCCAAGTGATTTACTAACTTTTGGCACAAGGTGAAGATTTCTATTAGGAATCATTAATGATTCATTAACGAATCATTAGTGTATTTTTAATGAATCATTAATGAGTCAATAATTCCATCATAGATAATTAAAAGATTTCTATAAATTTTTTGTCTACTTTGAAAAATACATGTTTTAAAAATATTTTTGGATGTTGCGTTTTTAAATAATATTGCAGTGTTGCCAAGCAATTACTTTTTTTTTAATTAGAGAAGGATGCTGACCCCAAATTAAATTATCATAATTTACTAAGCTAACAAATAGCGGTTATAGAATTGGTTTATTTTATACAGAGTGTTTTGAAACATGTCTTAAATATGGCTAATTTTAAGTTCATTTAACTCAATTTTTTCAAATGCAACACCCTGTGTATTATTTTAGCATAACATTCCTTATAAATTTACCTATACAACGATACCAATAGGTTAACCAATAATGCATATACAGGGTGTCCCATCAGTACGTAATTGATCGATAGCTATTTTATTATTAGAAATTCGAAGAAATTTTTAATATTAAAGTTGTATGACCATATTTAACAATTATTCTTAAATATACAGAGTGGTCCATAAACGAGGTGTTGACCAAATCTACATTTTTAAAGCAAAACATCCTGCAGATAGTTATACATATTTGATTGTTTTCACATCGTCAAGCAATTTTAATTGACTTCACTCATTTCCTATGTTGTATATAGGGCATGTCAAAACGTGAGGTTACGATTTTATCAATTTTCTACATGGAATACCCTGTATTAATTAATTGGCGGTATAACACATAGGGTAATTGTTATCCTGCAGGATAAAAATGTATAAGTTTGGTCAGCCCTCGTTTATGGATCACCCTGTTTATTTAAGAATATTTGTTAAACCTGGTCATACAAATTTTATATTATTTTTGTTTTTCGTATTTCCAATAATAAAACCGCTATCGATTAATTGCACTCTAATGGGACACCCTGTATATGTGTTATTGACTAACATATTGGTATCGTTAGATAGTTAAATTTATAAGGAATTTTATGCTAAAATAATATAAAGGGTGTTGCAATTGAAAAAATTGAGTAAATTGAACTTAAATTTAGCCATATTTAAAACATGTTTCACAACATTCTGTATAAAATAAACCAGTTTACATTAAATAGGGTGTTCCATTTAAAAAACAAATTTTTATTTGCCAAGCAAAAACGCCACACCCTGTACATCCAAAAATATATTTAAAATATGTATCTTTTAAATTCACATAACATATTTAAAACTTTTTTACGTGTCTATAACACAAATTGAAATATTGAACAATTACACACTACTGGAACACCCTGTATATTTGTTAATAAATTATCATTAAAATGTAAATAGCTATTATGTGATCATAATTGTCTTTAAGGTAAATAGTAAAGTTGGATCCGTAAAAACATCAGTAAAACGTATATTTAATAATGAGAATTAAAATTTATTTTTGTAACACATTATGAACAAATCTGGGAATTACATAAAGTTGGATCCATATGGGTATTTTTTTAATATTACAAATAGAAAAGACGTCATAGGGCATTCACCGTTGCTTTTCTTAATAACTTAAAATAGTCCATATTAAAGTTGACTAGGTACTGCATTAGTTATCTGTCAAATTTGTTTTTTTTTTTTAATTTGTTTAATGCAAATTTGACAGAAAACTAATCTCAGTAGCCAACTTTAATATGGGCTACTTTAAGTTTTTAAATAAGCAGCTGAGATTGCTCTACCAAGTTCATTTCCAATCGTAGTATTAAAAAAAATCCCATATGGATCCAACTTTATGGCACACACTGTATATCAAACCGTAAATATTGAAAATACTTTGCTGAAAATCTTAATAATATGGATGTTTTCCACTAGTAACTATAAAATATAAGGCGCAATCCAAATCTAATTGAAATACAAAAAATGGTTTCGTAAAATTAAAACTTTTATCTCATCTCAAACTCACCTGAACATGAAAATGATTACCTTAGATATAAAAAGATATATAGAAAAGTAAAAAAAAAAAAAAATAGAAAATGACCAAATAATACCTCCCGAAATTCGGTTAAAAATCAGATACTCATGAACTGAGATTTTTTAGACATCAAAAAAGCTGTACAAAATGTAACATCGTTAAGTTATAGACACTTGTGTAGAAAAAATTTCAAAAACTTTTTTGTATTGATATTTTAGAAATTTTAATTATAAATCAAACTTTTCGAATTAATAATTTTAATGTCAAAAACTACTATAAGTAAATTTGAAACAGCTAATTTAATTTTAGAATTTAGACCATTCAGAATAGAGTAATTTTTTTAGTAAAAACCAATAATTAAAAGCATAAGTTAATTATATCTAATATTAGGTTAGAATTTAAAAAACCGTTTTAATATGATTCTGAAGATTTTTAAAGTTACCTTTTTTATAAAACCAAAAAAATCTCGAGAGCCGATATTCCAGTTTGTTAATAAGGATAACGTTGTCAACAAAGTGTTAATTTTATACCAGCATTCGTTGTTTTTGTTTTGATTAACAGTATTACAACGGGTTTCGCTTTCAACATTGTAATGATCATAATTCCATAACCTTATATGTCGGCCGGTGGTTTTTTCTTTCGGACTGCCATAATGACAAACTAATTGGACGACCCAACAACCTGAAATGCCTAGCCAAAGGATCGTTAACAGTTTTTCAATTGCAAAACACATGTTTGGATCCGCACTCAGTCTGTGTATAATTTTTTTGCATCCTTTTTTTTATACTTTTGCAAGGTTCTCGTTTTCGATAATACCTAAGTAATTCTCACAGTGAATGGGGTAGAAGTGTATTAAGTTCAATATTAATGGTAGTAATAATAAATAACAAATTTATAAAGGTACAATTTTATCAGACTAGTTAAGTAAGTATAAAATAAATATTAAATATAATATAATAACAAAAAGATGTACAATAAATTTAACCACGGTTATTGGGGTCCAAAATAAGTCGATTTAAGCTAACTTGCTTATACAGGGTGTTTCATTAGTAAAGGGACTCCCTTTAACCATGGATGGAGACCACCGAAGTGCTTCCAAATAACCCATACTTAATGGGTCTTTCGACCTTTATAGCCGAGATACAGGGTGTTTTTTGTGCTCTTTTCAAATATGAAAACAAAAATTTCAAATTCAGACATACAGGATGTTGTTTTAAGGATGGACGAATTTATTAATGTTTTGTAAAGACGGACCTGGATTTCGTTTCTTGTTTATACCTTTTTAGATTTGGTAAGTTACGGTGAATAAGTACGCCAAATGTCAAAAACATATACAGGGTGGTTAATAAGTTATGAGTCTGGAAAGAAATAGGCCAAATTGATAAAATCTCGGCTATAAAGGTCGAAAGACCCATTAAGTATGGGTTATTTGGAAGCACCTCGGTGGTCTCCATCCATGGTTAAAGGGAGTCCCTTTACCAATGATAAAAAAAAAATTGATAGTAAAAAACTTACAAGTTTTTTTGCTCTTACTCTAAAACGGTTTGACATATTTTTATGAAAATATAAGTATACAATGACCAATAAAATTGATTTAGTAGCGTTTAAAATTGTTTTTTTACTACTAACATGAGAAAGCACCATTATTTACTCCATTCCTCTAATGAGAAGTAATATTTCTCACCCTAGGTAAATAATGATAATAAAAAAAACCTAGGTAAATAATGAAACTAAATTTCATTAGTTTCATTTTGTTAATTTGACAACTAAACTCCCAGACTACTTGATATTTTAAAATATTTGAAAAATAAGTAGGAAATAACTAAAGCTGGATTTATCAAATCTAATCAAATCAAATATGATAATATATATCAGTGTAAACAGTAAAAATATATATTAACTAGGAAATTAAACACCGGCTTCAAAAATTATTAATTAATGCCAATAAATCCATGTCATTAAAATATCAAAAATGCAATGGGATATTTCCTAGAATCATACCAAAATTTGACACATGCCAAATTTTTACATAAATAAAGCCAGTCTGATTAGAAACACGCTCCAGTCTGCTTGATATTTCGAAATATTTAACAAATTGTTAGGAAATTACTTATGTCAAAATTAAAATTGCTAATATATTAATGTTAGTAGTAAAAAAAATTCTATATATACCTCGGCTGAGAAAGCTAT